GAGAAAAATTACGTTTTTGTGTCCGATATTGTTACTTAAAATATCGTCCGCATTAATTAACATAGTTAAGGCGAGGCTCTGGAACGAGTAAGATTGAGTCCTAGAAAGTGAAAATCCGATCATTAAATCAAAAGTTATCGGGGTGTTCCGTTTTTGTTTTCTTTTTTTGAATTGTATCTCGTAAAATTATTTCTGTTAGTGCTTCGTCGTTCATCTCGTTTGCCAATATTTCCGCAAGGTTTTCAATATAATTTAATAATACTCAGTGCAATAGCCGTTGTTACCCGTCAATTCCGGAAATAGCTTTTTCTTTCTTCTGTATTCTTATTAGACTGAATTAGTTCACAAAAATTTCAATTCATTATCATTACTGCTACGTTAAAAAACGGAATAGTTTGGACAGAGTAAATCTAAGACTGAAGAAATTCAATTTGTCTAAAAAAACTGCAATTCAATAAGTAAAATTGCTAAGTAAAACATGGAATAGTTAAGAATGAATAAAAATAAAACTGAAAAAATTCAATCAATCTAAAAAAGCTTTAATTTATAATGTTAAACTGCTGAGCACACATAAAGAAGAGTTTGAAATACATAAATCTAATGCTGATGAAATTCAATTAGTTCACAAAAATTTCAATGCCTTATATTTAACTTCTACGGAAAAATATGAAATAGTTTCAAATGAATAAATCTGAATTTAATTGGTTCACAAAAACTCAATCGCACTAGTAAGCAAAAAATTAAAAAATAGAGAAATAGAAGCTTAAGAAGAGTGATTGGCAGAATTCAATCAACAGATAGGAAACATTTTAAATATTAAGAGAGAAACTTTTTTTACATGTGTTTAATATTTTTACATTTGTTTACTTTAATTCACGCAAACTGTCAAACCATTGATATTTTGTTAAACTACAACAAACTATTGATATTATGTTATTTTGTTCGAAATAAAATTTTGAAATCGTTTAAGCATTTAATGGTCTCATATAGGACAAATTTTAGAATTTAATGTCTTAAATTTATTATAAGAGTAATTAAATGATGTTAAATTTCCTCTTGTAAAAAATGTCTGTAACATAATAAATTTTTATAAAAAGATGAAGTTGATATTCTAAATTTCCCGTAAATTATGAAATGAGACTTTGTAAAGGTGGATGAATGTAATGCCTAAGGTATATAAAATTTTAAACAAGTTTTAAAATTTAATTAATAAATTAAATCTAAACGAAAAGAAGAATATTAAATTTTGCAACATGTAAAGAACATTTAATTAAGTAACTTGTAAGGAATACTAAAATTTGTAGCTTGCAAATAATACGAAAAGAACTCTCTATCTCGTTAGATATTCAAGATATTTCGATAGTCTAATTTGAAAGAATATCAGACTGTTGAATGCCAATTAATTTATGACAAATTTCAGAATTTAATAAAAACTATTTTATGCTAATCGTTGAATTCCCGTCTAGAATAAGAATAGGAACTTCAAATTCTATAAAATATTACAAATGAAATTCATTTCTCACAATTCATATAAAAACTGAGTATTCGTGAAATTTTGAAGTTCTTTTTGAACCTAAGGCTACTGTGGACTCTTAATAAGTTTTTCTTAAAAAATAATGTTACATTGCTGTGACTTTCAGGGATTGTTTATATTTAGAGAGAGAGAACATAAAAAATATTATAATTTGATACATACTTCATGCTATAACATGAAAAATTCAAATTTTTTCCAAAAAAATTAATGATTTATTTTGAAATTTAAATAAGCTCCTCGCGCTAAATTTTTCCTTAAATTTAAAGATTATTTCTTAATTTCAACTTTATTCATATTTCTCTTCAAATTGTAGGGAAAAAATGTATACATTTTTCTACTAATTTCCATACAGAGATGGAAAAGCAAGTAAAAGAAAAAAACAAAGAAAGAACATGAAAATCGTACCTCTATGAACGTTTTGGAGCATTGAAATGACTATAAAATATGTTGCGGCAACTTACTTTGAAATTTTTTCTCTAAAATTTTATTTTTTTTACTGGTCTAGAGAGTGTGTCAAAAAAGTTTCATGGAAAAGTCGTCAAAATTACAGCGCATGAATCGATTTCAATTTCCAGTTCGATGCAAAATTTTTGTTTTGAGAAACACTCACAATAACAAGTTTTTGTAATAAGAAATCAAAATAACACTAATATTGTCAAATGTTTTACAAAATCTTTCGATTTTAATAATTATTATGCTTTTTTATATCATTTAATTAACATGAAATGGTCAAAATTGGAAAATCGATTTCTTTTTCGAGAGATCTTCACGAGTTCACTGTAGCCTTAATTGTGACTGTACTGTGTAAATATTAAATCATTCTAATAAGAAAATTTTTTAGAATTTAAGATGTGAAATCGAACTGAACGTTAAAAACTATTTGTTCAGCGAAGACTAATTTTTAGTCTTCGCTGAACAATAGTTTTAGTTTGCAAAAAAAGTTTCTTATTGAAAAAAAAAAGGAAATTGACATTTTATTTCGCGTTAATTGTCAAATTATTGGAAGTCTTTTTCGAGAGATCTTCACGAGTTCACTGTAGCCTTAATTGTGACTGTACTGTGCAAATATTAAATCATTCTAATAAGAAAATTTTTTAGAATTTAAGATGTGAAATCGAACTGAACGTTAAAAACTATTTGTTCAGCGAAGACTAATTTTTAATTTAGTTTTAGTTTGCAAAAAAAGTTTCTAATTGAAAAAAAAAGGAAATTGACATTTTATTTCGCGTTAATTGTCAAATTATTGGAAGTTTCATCGTCGAAGTGTATTGAATATATCGCGTAAATATTGATTCATAACATTCGAAATTTAATTTAGAAAATTTAATCTGTACTAGTTTAAGATGATACAGTTTTGTAACAAGTGAAGAATATTAATGCTATACTTATTTTTTTGTGAAAATAGAATTGAATTAGAAGAAATTTTCTATCAATTAAATGTCATTTCGTAACGAAACCTGAATGTCTCTTTTAAGACAAATTTCAGAATTTATTTAATAAAATAAATTATTTTGCATTAATCAAAAATATTGAATATCTATCTCAGTGAAGAATAGAATAGAATAATTAAATTTCACAAAATATTAAATAAGGAATTAATATTTAAATTCTAGCAAAAAGTTGAATTAAATATTGAAACACTGAACTTAATTGTGCTGTGAAAACATAAAATTATTTCCTTAAGAAATTTTTTAGAATTTCGTGTCTAAAATCGACCCAAAATTTCGTACCCAAATATCGATTAATTTTTAATTTGGTTTTAGTAAAATCAATTTTTATTAGGAAAAATGGAATTGATATTCTAATTTGAGTAATAGTCAAACTGATAGTTACTTCGTTAAAATGCGTTGATTGCATCGTACTAACATTGATACTTAAAATTTAAAATTTAATTTATAAAAATAAATCTGCTCAAGTTGAAGAAAATATATTTTTGTAACAAGTAAAAAATATAAATAGAAGCAGCAATATTTGTAGAAAATAAAATTGAATTTGAAAGAACTGTTAAAGTATTTCATAACGGAACCTGATTGCATTGAATGCCCTGTTTAAAACAAATTTCAGATTTTATTGTAAAAAAATGGTTATTTTTTTTAACATCAATTGAAAAATAGTGTATTTTTGTCTCAACAGGGAACAAACATAGAATAATCAATTTCAATAATATATAAAATATGGAATTTGTATTCGAATTCGAGCAATTTTTAGTTAATTTTGAATTTGATTTTAGCTTGAAAACACTGAATTTTAAGTTGTAGAAATTAACACATAAAACCATTTTTTACGTATTTTTAACTTTTTGTTAAAAAAATTAAGGTTGTGTCATAACATTGTAACGATGCAATATACAATATTGTCTGTTATATTGTCTTAATTCTTTTCAACTTTTTGATATAAAATGAAAATGTTAATATTTAGAAATAAAAGGAGATTCTAGATCAAATAGTTTCCTATTAAAAAGATAAAGGAATTGATATTTTTATTCGAGTAAGCTGTTGAAGTTAATTTTGTATTTGATTCTACTGTATTAACACTGAATTACGATAAATTGTTGAGTTTAATATGTCAAACCGATTATTCCCTACTATACTATTTATTTTCAGTCACTTCTTTTAGGAAAGTTAGATTTCATACATTTTTTACACATTGTCAGCAAATTGACAACGGATCAAATAACTATAATTTTATCATGTACAATATTGTGAGTAAAAATTCCGTAAAATGACCTCATTACGCTTCAGTTTAGAGCATAAAAAGGTTGTCAGCGATAAATAAAAATATATGGGATTCAAATATTTAGTTTTCAATTTAAAAAAATAAAATTGATATTCTAATTCGAACAAACTGTCGAATTTTTTCCCGAGCAGATTACCACGGACCACCGTTAATAATTTACACATTGTCAAAAAATTAACATAGGATCAAATAACTATTGTTTTACCATGTACAATATTGTGTGTAAAAATTCCGTAAACAGTACACATACCGTTTCAATTTAGAACATAAAAATGTTGTTAGCTATAAATAAAAATAGATATGGGATTTAAATAATTTAGTTTTCAATTTAAGAAAATAAAATTGATATTCTAATTCGTACAAACTGTCGAACTTTTTCCCGAGCAGATTACCACGGACCACCGTTAATAATTTACACATTGTCAAAAAATTAATATAGGATCAAATAATTATAGTTTTACCATGTACAATATTGTGCGCAAAAATTCCGTAAATAGCACACATACCGTTTCAATTTAGAACATAAAAATGTTGTTAGCCATAAATAAAAATATATGGGATTTAGATAATTTAGTTTTCAATTTAAAAAAAATAAAATTGATATTCTAATTCGAACAAACTGTCGAACTTTTTCCCGAGCTGATTACCACGGACCACCGTTAATAAGAGGTGATTCGAACAAAAAAAGAAGACAAAGGTTATCTAAGTAAGATAAGTAAAAAGCTTTTACCTTTTCAAAAAGATATCCAGTTTATTGCAAAGGATCCTAATTAAGAATATCTTGAAGAAATCGATGAAAGTTTTAACTGAGCCATGTTGTTACCTTGCGCCGGTGTGGCGCCGCATTCCTTGTACTTTAAGCACAGCACTGGTTGGCATGTTCTTCTCTCATTCACTTGAGAGAGAACTTTGAGAACATCGGCATATGTTACTTACTCAATAACTGTAGCGGCCTTCCCTCTTTACAACCCTCCTCACTCTTCACCCCCTTTTCTTTCTCTCACTGTGTTGATTTTAGGGGCCGTATACAAACGCATTCACGATTTATTTTATTTAGAAATTTATTTTACCAGAAGTTAGAGCGTGTTATACATAGCATATTTAGAACTAAATAAGGACTTTTTCGGGGGGGGGGGNGGGGGGGGGGGGACTTTTTTTTGTTTTATCTTCATTTTATTTCATTGACGAAGAATAGATAAACTTAACTAACATATTATATTAGATTAAATGTAATTTAGAGTAAGAAGTGCAAGTATGATTTTTTTTACATTATTTTCAATATTGTTTAAAAATATTTATTTTATGGTAGTCATTGCTTGCAGAATGTTTAACTGTTAAAGTGTTCATGATATATATATATATATATCTATATATATATATCTTGTTTTGCAGATTAAAAATCTGTTTTTTTGCGAAAATAAATTTGTCGATTTTTAGGAAAATTGAGCTTTATATGAATATAGCTCAATGAAGACAAAAAGGATTATAAAAAAATGAGAGAAAAACTAAGCAAATTAATAAGTTTTATTCTTTTTTATTATGTTAACTGTACCATACTATGTTAGAACATAAACACTGTGTAAAAATGTTTTTTGTTACCATATTACACTTCGAGTACAATATAAAAAAAATATTAATTTGTTTTCATCACTTTTTTCTGTTGTTGATTCCTTTTTAAGTAACGATTCATTAATTGGACTGAAATCGTAAAATGAAAACTTCAAACATACATGATTAATTAGTTATAATATTTAGAATTGTAGTTTTAAGATTTAAAATTAAATTAAAATAAAGTTAGTGAAAAATGTCTAGAAGCATAATAAGAAAAAACATTGTAATGTATGTAAAAATATTACTCAAAGACATATTAGGAAAATTATTTAAATTACAGTTCATCGCAAATTTCTTTAGTCACATTTGAATGTTTTTTGAATCTATATTTAACAGAACTATTGAAAAAGCAAATAAAACTACAAAAACAAATAAATTCACCTCATTTGAAAAGTTTATTAAAAACAACATGAGCATGTATTTAGTGTACAGTTTGTAATAGTTTTCTAGTTACTGAATATTCACTATGCAATTTCTTTATCATAAAATCTGATATTGATATCTAGCTCTTTTAAGTAATCGTTTTGTACAATTTCAAATTTTGGTACAAATGTATTTTTTAAAATTTATTTCTGTAACTGTTATGTTATACTATGAAATGCAATTTTAGCTAAAATACCTTTTACTCTAATCGTACATAAGAAGTAGATATGTATAATTTGAAATGAGCATTTACTTATTTTACTAGGGCTCGGTGAAATACTTTCCTGGAATTTGGTAAAATAATTTTCTGGGATTCAGTAGAATATTTTCCTGGGATTTGGTGGAATTTTTTCCTAGGATTCGGTGAAAATTTTATTTAAGTATTTGTCGGATTCTAAAATTTTAGTAAACAACTCCATAGCTCCGGTAAAAATATGCCATCTTATTAAACAAGAGATATCACTAAAATTTTGGAAAGCACGCAGAAATATTTGTAGCATTTTTTGATGTTTCACGAGTCAACTCATAATTGATAATCAATGAACAATTTATTGCCATAATGGCTCGTACCACTGAAGCTCTTAAATAGGCTTTTATGGCGTTAGAACAGAATGCGAAAGTAATTAATTTACTAGTTAGTGAAAAAAGGACCAAATATAAGTCAAGTTAAAATTAAGATCTTTAACTCAGTCTACTGGAAATTGAAAACTACAAGTGTATAAAAGTGGATAGTTTCACTTATTTATAAGAAGAATTTAACAAGAACAATGATCTAACCTCAAAAATACATAAACGGATAGCAAATGCAAACAGATGTTTTTACAGCCTCAAACCAGTCCATTTTTCTAAAATTAAAAACTAAATTTTCTATTGTCTAAAAACACTTATGAGATCTGTTTTATTATATGTATCTGAATCATGAGCCTCAAGAGGCGAGAGAGCGTTGACAAGAGCGTTGAGAGGCGAGAGAGCGTTGACAAGAGCGTTGAGAGGCGAGAGAGCGAAACTCAAGTGAATAGCTTATGGCAAAATTAAGAATTAAGGAGCGTGACTCTGTGATCCAAAGGATAAAAGGGATTGGACGTCTGAATCGAAGGAAAATCGAAATTGTCGAAAGCTATTTTTTGTCAAGCCCATAGGAACTAAACAAAGAGTCAGACCAGATTTCACTTCAGATGGATCGGCTGTCTCGAAAAAGATTATATGGATATTCTGAAGAAAAAAAAAGGGGTACAGTCACCAAAATCCTGGAAAACAACTTCTGGAGAAAGACAGGGCTCACCCAGAGTTGTTGTTCCATTGAAGAAGAAGAATAAGAATGGGGAAATTGCTATAAAAGATTAAAAATGAAAAAAAAATAATAACACTAATTTTATAATCTTATTCTATGTGTAACGAAAGAAAAAATATTATTAACTGATTTTCTTTTATTTTAAAATATTCTCAAAACTGTTACAAATGATCTCTGAAATCATAAAAAACGAACAGAAAAATACTTCAGAAATGCTATAATCATAAGTAATTGTCTAATTTCAAATGATTTTTTTAAAAATGTTTCTATAATTGCTTAATTTTTATTATATATTCTCGGATATCTTAATTTTAATTACTTAATATTCTCGAATTTCTTAATTTTTATTATTATTCAATATTCTTGGATCTCATAATTTTTATTATTCAATATTCTCGGATCTCTTAGTTTTTATTATTCAATATTCTCGGATTTCTTAATTTTTAGTATTCAATATTCTTGGATCGCTTAATTTTTATTATTCAATATTCTCGGATCTCTTAATTTTTATTATTCAATATTCTCGGATTTCTTAATTTTCATTATTCAATATTCTCGGATCTCCTAACTTTAATTATTTATTATTTCCGATTTTTTTACAAAAAGCTTTAGAAATAATAAATATCAAATTAGAAGGGACAAAAATGTTTAACGAGGAAATTCAATAAACATAGTCACTAAGAGCATTCGTTCCAGATGTAAGGAAAGGAAACGTTTAATCAATTAATTTTTTTAAATTTTTTTTCTTCTCAGAACTGTTATAAATGATCTTCGAATTAAAACAAACGCATTGTAAAATGCTGAAAAGTTTGAAAAGATAATGTAATAAGCATAGTTCTTATTATACATGCAAAAGAAAGAAATATTTCATTAAGTTAAGAACTCTTCTTTCCATTAGTAACTGAGCCACTTAACAACATTTAATGATATTTAATGATCATTCTGAGTGTAGAGATAATGATGATTGTGAATCTTTGATTTAGTAGCAATAAAATAAACCAACTTGACTAACGAAAAATAAAAAATTTGTAATGACATTTCGACTATTTTTTGACCGAAATTTTGAAATATGACGTAATAATACCTTCAATCTGTAATCTAGCTTCATAAAATATTTATGAAGGGTGATTTGCTCTTTAACTGTAATTGATGCAAAGACATGTTGCATAGCCATTAATCTTAATTATCAATACAAATTAAATGTTTTTCAACTATCGATTAAATGGTTTTTCGTCAATGACTATGACACACTTAAGATCTTGAATTATTCTAATGTGTCGTAAAACGTTACAAGATATTTTTTTTTGAACTTACCTGACATCAAACTTAGTGGAGAACGCGTATTTTCAGCAAATAATATGCTATTTCCAAAGCATTAAACTTTCAGATTTCGCCCACCTTCTCCCCGTGGAAAGAGCGTTGTTTGGTGCATATTATGAATTTACGAAAAAATTTGTTTCTTTAAAAAAAATCCTTCATAGCTTACAGTATTGCATCTGTACAATCGACGCTCGACATGACAACTCCTTTGGCTCAAACGCCAACACATATTATAACATGACGTCACTGTATAGTGAATACACTGAAATTATAGAAAATATTTAAATATAACTCACGAACTTATTTTGACAGAAACATTGTTCTTATAACCACTTCTTTCAACATTATTAATTTCTGTTCTAAGCATTATGGTGTTACGCTGATTACAAGTTGGCATTTTAGGTAAACTATGTAAGTCTAGAGAACTGTAAAGTCTAAGCAAAATGAAACTAAAAAGAATAAGAATACCTCATGTTTCAACTCAAGTTAACCACCCTTTATAACAATTCATATAAAGAGCTAACACAGTTTTCAAATAAATAAAAATATGATTGATGAATTTATTGAATTTTCCTTAAGAAGTACATGAATGCATATGAAATACTCCAATTTTTCAACGAAGATGCAATATGCACTTCTACTTCTCAATTATGAAAAGTAATCGATATATCGTCATTTATTTGACTAAAAAATTAGGTTGCTTTTTTGGAATAAGCTGTTCGGTTGTTTTAATGAAGGTTACATTGCATTGCGTCAATAAAATTCATGACTTCATGTTTCGGTCGCTATAATGAAAGGGTGGCAGTAATGAGGTAGTACAAATGAGTGTAGATTGTTTACGCCATAGGCTAATTAAAAGATATAATTTTTCATTATTATTTTGCAATGTACTAGACTCATCGGAAAATCTCCAGTGTTTTCTATTTAGCCTGATATTTTTTAAGCTTATTACAATCAGCCCATATGCCTTTTGGCTAATTAAAAAAATGCGCAAAAATTTATGGAATCAGCCTAAATTTTCTTAGACTTCTAGAAGTGAGCCTTGTATTAATTTCGCCACTATGAATTGACTGATATTCAACATCTAATCAGTCTGATTCAGTATAGTGAATCAAACTGATTAGACAATGAGTGATCTGCTTTCTAATTAGCATAAAGTATCTGGGTTCATTAAAAATTGCCCGAAATGAATCAAGATGATTGAGGAATTGAAGATGTACTGTCTTGTCTTTTTAAAAGAATCTGGTCTCATTACAATTAGCCTAAAAAGTGTTAGGCCGATTAGAAAACACCGACGTATTCATTTAGCCTGGCGCGTTGTAATCTGACGAA